TTGCATAAAATTCTAGTTTTTTTCTCATAAATATATATATATATATATATATATATATATCATCTTCAGAGGTATGCTCATTCTTAAAGTTACAATATACATCCAAATTCTCATTGACTTAAGCGTCAATTTTTATTTTATTTTTTCAGATATAACTACCATTTCAAGTATCAAGAATCAAAGATTGAGGACCAAGTATATTAGACAAATACTTTTTGTCAACAAGTACACCTATGAATCAAAATTTCAAGTACTAGCAGACTCAATAACTCGAATATTTGAACCCTTTTCGTACTCCATTCCTAAAAAAAAGTTAATAATGCTAAGTCTTCATTTTAATCTTGTTCCCATGAATAATTTTTTTTTCCAAGGAAAACACCATTCAGGACAAACACAATGCGCAAAACGGTAACAATAATACAAAGCGATGAAGAAAAAGTTTCAATGTTTCAAGAATTCAATGACAATAATACGAAGCGATAAAGATAGGTTTCAATGTTTCAAGAATATTTCAAAGTGGGTATTTGATTTGTGTTTTGTGGGTGATTATTTTTGCTTACTACATACCCTTTTTCGTTTTTTCTTGAATTTTTCTTATACATTTACATTACCAAAAAATATTATAGCACCTTAGAACTGCTAAAAAAATTGTCTCAAACTAACATCTTATCATATATGACTATTGCCTCAAACTAGTAGACTAACTACACAGTAATAAGTCACAGGACTACCACATCATCAATTAAAGGTGATATTTTTTAAGAAACTAAAAACAAATTTTATAAAATAAAAAAAAAGAGAGATTGTGATTGATAAAAAAAAATGTTGAGAAACTAAATGTAAATTTCATTTAAAAGATAAGAAACTTAAAACATAATTTACTAAAGAAAAATACATATAATTGCCTGATTAGACTAGTTGATAATGAGATAGGTGATGTAACAGTCATCACTTAATGACAATACTTAACAGTAATACTAAATAGAAGAAATAAAAAATATGAAGTTTAAGAAGTAACATCAGTTAAAATGTTTAGAAACTAAAAATAAAATTTTAAAAAATTAAGAAATAAAAATACACATAACCAATTATATATCTTAAACATCCAAATAAGTCTTAAATGGTCCAATCAGCTATCTCACCCATGATTGATTTTAATTAAGGCCACATGAAAACGTGTAGGCTAATTATATTGGGCTGATAACTGCCATATTTAAGAATCTTATCTCCTATAAGTTGATCATTTTTTAGCGGCCCCAACCCTCAAGACCCAAATATGTTTTTTTGCTTTTGTTTTTTTATAAATACCCAAATATGTTACGTAAAAGTGTAGAACATATTCTTATGCATGGATAAGCAAAATTGCACGGGCGAATATTATATCCAAACTACCACTTTTATTAGTTATAAATATACACGATGGATAACATAAATTTTCATTCTCGCTCTTGTATGGCTAATAGTCTATCTATTAATTGTATAAAAGTTTCATCTGTATCCAGCATGCTAATTCTTACGTATTTTGGGCTAGCCCCGAAGTGTTTCCCACTTCTTGTTAAAACTTTGTGTCCTCGAAGGAAGCTTTCGCAGTCCTCTATATCTCCCTCACACTTCAACCACATGAAAGCTGCAAAGTAGGTACAAACAATATAACAAAGGGAGAAAAAAAGTAATCATATCCAGGCACGAAAATCTAATTGTTAAGGCATATATAATTGGTGAGTCAAGTTCCTCAATCAAATATGTTAATCGATTAATTACCTGGTTGAGGATCCATCTCCTGGCCAAAGAAGGTGCAGAATGCAGGAGAAAATTGGGGCAAAGTGAACAACTCACCGGCTTCAACTACTTCTCTCAGTTGCTTCCACCTTTGCGCCATGAGCTTGTAGCTGTACTTGAAAAATGATTCCTCATTTTTGGAGTTTTCTTGTTCGCAGCTGTCAGACACTGCCTTTAAAACCTTGGCAGCTCTGAGTTGAGAATCCTTAGAGACACCAATTGTATTTAGCTCTATGAATTTAGTCATTTTCTTTGCAACTTCTTTATCTTTGACAAGAGCCCACCTGCAAGGTATATATGTTAAAACTTTATAAGAAATTTATTTATATGATCTATTACGTTTCAGTTTGATTTTGATAATATCTTATGCACTATTATTCAAGCATGTATCATATGTTACCTCATCAATATTCACCAACAAAACAATGTGTTACTTCATTAAATAGTGTAACTTCTAAGAGAAGCATTATTGTATTAATTTAAATGAGAAACATTTTAATGATGTAATAACACATGTTGATCTTTACATCCTAATAAGGTGGTGGAGCTAATCATGCTTAGATGGCTACCCTTATATATCTTCTTATATGTTATTAAGTTTGAGCTAAGTTATAAAAGGGCAACTCCACATGAATAATTGAGGGGGACAAAGTATTGTTATCTACTAAGAACTTACCCTATGCGCATTCCTGCATGACCAGTGCTTTTTGAGACAGTGAAAAGCGTGAGATCATGATCTGAAGGGGATGATATTGGAGTGTATTGAGGCCAATAATAGGCAAGGTCATGAATCAATAGTCCTTGGCTTCGGTTGACCATTGATCGCCTTCTAAATCCATCAGGATTATTGGGAGAAGTAACCAGCTCAATATAAGGACCCTCTTTGTCAAAACTCTCTGCATCACCAGCCCATTTGTAAAGGCCTGATTTCTGGTAATCTGCCATTGATGGGTAGGACTGCAAGTAATTCGTCAATTCAACATTTAACCGTGAACTGATCACACATAAGGTAACAAATTTACTTTTAATATAGAACACTCTTAGGATTCTCCAAGGACTTTTGCTATATCTTCCTAGCTAATAATTATCCTAATTCAGATGTTAAAAAGTACATGAAAAATTTTAAAACTACCTTTATTGAATGTTTAGAAAGATTGGTCAGGAAAATTTAGAATTGTTCTTCTGCAAGAGCATGTACATGGTGATAATCAATGTCATAATCATTCTTCTGATTATAAATAGAAGAAATATTGAACACATTTTATGTCCTCCACAAATATTAAATGTATCTAAATTTTCCACTCTGTAGTGTAACTATAATGGAGTTGTTTAACTCATTTTTGGTAGATCCTATAATTATTTAATAGTTCTCAAGAATTATAAAAATTCTTAATAAGAACTGTCACGTCAATTATTCCAATGGTACAATTGCAAGTTTAAGAATTCCATAAGTAACTCCCACTAAACTTTTTTATTATTATTAAATTCAGGGGTGCATAGCTTGATTCTTTATAAATAACTATTTAGCAAGACCATTTTTTTTTTCCTTTTCGTACTTTATAAATTGCAAGAATGACCGTCTAGTTTGAAATAGCAATATCTTTGACAGTCTGGAAGCTAAATTTTACTCTTTTTCAGCTCAGCACATGCGACCGTTCACCACAAGTGTTCATGTGATCAGGTTCAGGCCCATGCAAGAGAGAAGAAGACATTGATGAAGACAAACGAGGTAGATTCGGTAATGGGCACATGGGAGAATTCCTTTAAAAACAAAGAAATACCAACTAACGAAACACTAGATTCTCTCAAACACTACATATACCAAGTACCAACTATTTAAACAAAAGATATACCTTTTAACCTTTCAAAATATCCAATGCCGATGCCCTTTTTAATTATATAGTATTACTTTGGTTAGTGAGCACACTAGAGTTTCTTTTTAAAAAAGTTCAAGTATAGAAATATTAAACAAAGACTCTAGTAGCATACTTTTGGATCATGCATGCACGACTCACCGAATAATAGGGTGCGGCAGATACCACACTGATTGGTTCATGAGCATCAGGCGAAGACAGAGCATAAAGTGCAGCCAGAATTAACTGAGAGGAACCTGTCCCAACAACAATATGGCGACCTTCTGTCACAGCATTTCCCACCACTTTGTGCAACCTCACTACTTCCTTTGCAAACTCAGCCTCCAGAAACCAGCAAATGTTTGATGTATCAGATAAATAGCTCATGGATTGCCATCCTGGAATTATGATCGTGGTCTTGTCACCCCTTAACCGCCAAAATCTTTCATACATTGTTGGATCTCCACTGCATATACCAACATTAATTAAATTTAATTAGCACCTTGAATGCTCGAATAGCAAACCGGATCATCATTAATTATATAATATAAATTCATGGCCGTACTAAAAGAATTACTAGCATTTTTCATTATTAAATTCTGGTCATCATTTTCTATTATTACAAATAAAGTTGACATATGATTGCACCGTGTTTTGTTTTATTCCATCCAGCATGTAGCATGCTGTATCTATGTCATTCCACAATATAATATAATCGAACCATGTGGATGTAGGGCATGATCTGATTCTGATATCTGAAATCTGAAACAACGTGGTGCTATGAACGGCCTACAACAATCTTTACTTCGCCCTAGAAAAGTATCAAGCAGGGTAGATTGCAAAAACAGTGGAACAGTGAAAGCATGCACAGTGGGGCAGGTAAGAAAAGAAAGGAGGAAAGAACTCGTTGAAGAAACAGTGTTGAGTTAATGGCTGCATGTATTATGGATGAGGTAAGGTAAGGGAAAAGAAATTAAAGATGAGTAAAAGGGTAGTATCAAATCATGAATTATATTTACACTTTTTTCTCATTCTCTCTGTAGGTGTATATAAGCATCAAGTGTCATTTTTGAGGAAAACCAATGTTGGGTCCGTTGATCTATACTATAGGATTAGATATAACTTATAAGGATTTGCATTTGACATGAGATGAATGGGCTGGGGCATGGTAAGTTAAAGAAAGACAGAATACGTTAAACATGGACTTCCATTTACGCAGGGCCCACGAAGTAGGTGATCCAGACGACCCATATGTTAACAGGGAAAAGAAGAAGACACGTATAAAGTATCAACAGCTACATTTGAGTGTTTCACAATTGGGGCGGCCAAAAGTTGTAAAGATCTCTCTCATCACAATTCACAACCCAAGGCGCACTTTCATTCCCATAAGTCTTTTGCTCATGGCAAAAGGGTGTCTTCATATTGCTGGATGCGCATCAGGCACATGGCCCCCACCAACTTCTTTGGTAATAGCAATTCTTCTTCCATGTTGCTGCTGTACCTTGTGCTCCTAAAGCCCCAGTTACGATGTGTAGCTTTTTAGTAGTTTGAGGTCCACGACTACCTTAACCAACATAATAACTACTATAATTATAATGTTGTTGGTCAAATAACAATAAGAACCATCCACGGTGCTACGTTAGACTCCATATACCACAGCACTATTCTTGTGTCTAGTGCTGCTAATACATTATTTGCACAAGGTTGTTTCTAGGATATTTTTGGTAATTTAGCATATCTACCATGACTAATTTACTCTAAATAAAATAAAAATAAAAATTGATTGGCCATTGAATAAGAGATTCAAACTAAAGAATGAGAAACTGATTAATAATATCAGTTTCAATTTATCCTAGTAAAATACTATAATTAACTAGTTTAGATGAAAAACAAATGTAAACGTGTTTGGTTTGTATTTTATTTTAATTTAACTTAATTAATTAATATATTTATAAAATAATATAAAGAAATTGCGCTATTTTTATTTTATTTTGTTTTATCAACAGAAAACAATCCACATATTCTGTACCCAATGAACGCGATGAACCTCTTCATTTCCCCCAACAAACTTTCGACTCTCTAATTAAGACTGTTATGCAATATTAACTAGATTTAATGTGATATTTTCACTAACAAGAACACCAATAGGTAGATTTTATACAATAATGTTTGATAAATTTCTTTAACAAATTTTGAATATAAGAATTAAAATAACTAATTAAGACTGTTATGCAATATTAACTAGATTTAATGTGATATTTTCACTAACAAGAACACCAATAGGTAGATTTTATACAATAATGTTTGATAAATTTCTTTAACAAATTTTGAATATAAGAATTAAAATACATTTTTTAATTACAGGGACTAAAAATAACAATTTTAAATTTGAGATATCAAAAATAAATTTATCCTAAATTTGAATGAGTAAAAACACACTTTAACCTTTATTTTATATTATGTTAATTATTTTTTTCCATGCTTAGTCTATCTGTTTTGTTATTGGTGTAATACTATTGTTGACATGGTAAATGAAATATATAATGTATTAAATTTTTTAAATATGAAATTAAAACAAGAAGTAGTCTCTCTGTTTTTTTATTATAATAAAAAATACATTTTTTTTCTTAAATATAAGTAATTTTATCTTATTTAATAATATTTTTAAAAAATACTTATTCTTTAATATATGATTTTTGAGTTGTACTAATTTTTTTTAACATTTATAAGAAAGGCATTTTATTATAGAATTAATAAAATTTAGTATAAAGAATTAGTTTTAAATTTATGTAAAAACAGTTATTTATAATAGAAAATAAAAATAATACTGTGTTTTGTTTTATATCTGTCCCCTGGTTCTTTATTTTCCTACCATGTCTCCTTCTGTTTCCTTCATCAGTAACGATTTCTGAACGGCGACACAGCACAGCACTACCCAACAAATCAACAAGTACAGTAATACTTTTACTTTAACCCGTACAAATGGAATACAGTACCACCTTAAAGAATAACATTAATTTGACCAAGTTTAACAATTCCTCATTCACTTTCCAAAATGTTTCTTCAACAGCTTTAATTACTCCACAAACTATGTTACCTGTTGTATTAAAAACCAGCCATTTCCTTATTTATAAATGGCTTTGACTGGGTGATTTAATAAAGAGGAGATAGATTATAGTGGAATTAAAAGAAAATATTTATTATTGATAGAAATTGATTAACAAGAAGAACTGTGGGAAATTAGAAATAGATTTTACATTTTTTTTATTGAGAATATTTTTTGTAAAATTTGAAAATATAAATAATTCAAACTATATTATAAAGTGGGATCAAATATAAATTTTTTTTAAGAGTGTTAAATTAGTTACTGTGATGGTTGTAGTGTGTGGCGTGTTGTGTTGGTGGCAGTGAGGGGCGCATGCGCGTGTGGGTGTGGTTGTGAGAAAGCTGAGCAATAATTTGATAGGTTGTTCCCTTCTTGTTCAACAACTGGTTTTGAAAAAAGTTAAAAATCATTTTCCAACTCATTTCTCTTCCCTATAAATTCCTCGATATCTTCTTTATTCCCATTTTATAATCCCTACACCTACATCTTAGACTAAGACGTAACCCCTCTTCTTTTTTCTACCTCCGAACCTCCAAATCGCATATTTATATTATTAATTTTAAATATATTTTATATAATAATACATATAATAAAAAAATATTTTCATTAGTTTTATGTTTTAATATGTATTTTATTTATTTTAAATTATTATTTTGTTTATTTTATAATAATAGAAAAATTTGATTATGTAACATTTATATAAAAATTATTAACACAAATAATTTAGTACTTATGCATTTTAATCAACAATGATAACCGGATCTTAACTCATAAGGAAAAAAAATCTTAATTATTAATTATGTGTATTTTAAATGTTTTTGGTAATTGCACTTTTATGATATATGTTAGACATAAATTAATTAATTTTTTTATATTTTTCTTACTTGAAGGTACACAATTATATTTTTGTTTTATTGTTGATTTTAAAATGTTAGTAACTTTCATCTAATAAAATTTCTGCTGTTTGAGTTGTTTCATTTTTCCAAATTTGTGATAGTTAATTTACACCAATTAACTAGACTTTATAAACTTAATATACTTAAAATGAAAGAAAAAACACAATTAAATAATTAAATTTATTTATATTTGAGAATAAATAATATTTTTCTTATAATAAAGAGTAAAGGGAGTACATCTAACACTACAAATTAGGTTTTTTTTATAAAAATAAATAATTGTTATAATTTGAGTCTTATAAATAAGAACAAAATTAGTATTATATTCTAATTATTAAATTAAAACTAAAAATTCTCTATTTTACACAAATCAACATAATAATTTTAAATAAATTATAAAAATATGGAAAATTAAAAAAAATCAAAATTCTTTCATTTTATATGAATACATTCAACTAATAATTTTGTGTAAAAACATTGCAATTTTGTAAGACTTGATAAAAAAAATAATAACATATTTATCTTTTTATTTTAGGCTTAAATATATTTTTAGTCTCTCACAAATTTATTTTTGTTCATTTAAATTTAAAATTATTATTTTTAGTCTTGCAATTTTCAAAATTTTTGTTTTAGTCTCTTAGTCACCAATAACATATTTAAAAATAACTAATTAAGACTGTTATGCAATATTAACTAGATTTAATGTGATATTTTCACTAACAAGAACACCAATAGGTAGATTTTATACAATAATGTTTGATAAATTTCTTTAACAAATTTTGAATATAAGAATTAAAATACATTTTTTAATTACAGGGACAACATATCCAACCCCTAACTGGTATAACTAACTCCGTATCACTCTCCTCCAACTCGGGAACAGAGAGACGACAATATAGGATCGTTGAACACGAAGGATGTTGTGCTCTGATCAAGGTCTATTTTCACAATTTACCAAGTCCCAACATGGAGGGCAAATTCAAGTGTTTTGGGTTGAGATTTAATCTCATTTGATTGGGTTGGTTTACTTTCAATTTTTATAACTTTTCGGTTTCTGATTAAAATCGGATTAATTTAGTTAGATTTATCCAATTAAAATAATAACTAAATTATTATACCATTTCCAAAAAAAAATTTACTTATTATTTATTTTAATATATGTAGAAGATCAGTCCCTTCTATTGAGTGTGTGTGTTTAGTTTTGATTATTAAACTCAAGTTTTCCTTCTCTTTCCACATCTGATTCTAAATTTCCGGAGAAGTGACTATTTTCTACTTCAACCTAAACGTAAAAAATCACGTCTTCACAGCTGATATAAACACACTATGAATCTAACTTCTTTAATCTATCAATACTTTTCTATTATAAAATTAAAATCTTGAAAATTAAATTTAAAAATATAAAATACTTAATATTTAAATACTTTTAAATATATTAAATATAAAATATCTTTAAAATAAATTTATTTTTAATTATATATTGGTGAATTAAATTTATTTTTAATAAAATAATAATATATTTATACTTAAATTTAATAACATAAATGCAAGATATGTTTTAATATAAATTAAACTGAAATACAGACATCCTTATTTATTTATTTCTATTTCGAAGATAAACTTACTTAAGGGGAGAATTGTTCTTAAATGCAACTGAAATGGAGGGGACTTTGCTAATAGTATTTTTTTCTTTATTTGCATTCTCTTTTAAAACAGTCAAAATCTTGTATTTATGTCTGTCCTCCTCCTTTCTATTTCTTCAACAAACAAAGGCAAATGCAACACAAATGGATGGAGCGGCTTCCTTAATAAAATAATTTCTCTATTTATATGTCACTGACATTTTTCAAAGTAAAAAAAAAAAATTAGAGTGGAGACTATGACTTGTCCCTGTCTTTTCCAGGAACGAGAGCAGGAAGCAAAGCAGAGATGCACGACGTAAGCAATCGGCCCCTATCAAGAATGGCAACAGACCAAAAATCTCTCTCACACACGCACAACAATACCAAGATTTTTAATCCTGAAATGAAAGACTTGTTTAACTGATTTCAGTATTATTAACAAATACCTAATAGCATTTAAAAATGAAAAAAAATCTTTTTATATAAGAATAAAATGATACTTTTAATGATGATTTTCATGTTTTATATAAAATTTTAGTTAAATTCATGTATAAGTGAGAATCCAATTTTAATCCTTGATTAAAGAAATAAGACTTTAGGTAACTATGTTTTTTTCTTCTTCTTTTAGTATTTTTAGCTTAGGCATAACCGGAGATTTTGCTGGAAAAGAAAAGAAAAAAAGAGAAAACGAGTGACATCATCCTAATAACCTTAATTTTCTATGCTTTTGTCATGGGGAAATTTACTCCACCATGAGTCCGAAAAAGGGCATAATAAGTTAAGAAGGAAAAGATGTTCACTTGTGGATGTGAAGATGCAAAGGAATTCTCACAAGGGTTGTGAATGATGTAGCAAGAATCTTGAAAAGGTAACTTGCTAAACAAAAACAGCACTAAAATCAACTACCTTAATGCAGACATGATGAAGGAAACAAAACAAGAAAGAATCTTAAGCTTAGGTTGCACTTACTGGTCCAAGTTGATGACCCTTTCCTTTCCTCCAGAACGAGTAGAATTAACGAGAGAGAAAGTAGTGGATATAGCCAAACGTGCTTTGTGGATAAAATGTCCCTCTCTTTCAGAATCCGCATCTGCCATCATTTTCTTCTTCAAGCAAAACCTCTTGCTTCCTTCTTCACTCTCATAATACGTGGTTCTCAGGATCAAGCTCACATTGAGAGCCAGCGAGAGCACCAGAAAGTGCCTCATGGAAAACATAGATGGAACTGCAAGCTTTGCCATCTTAAGAAGCAAACTGAAACCAAAACAGAACACTTTGGAGTGACAGGGTCTATACTTTATAATAACTTATTACCCTCTAATAAACTATTGCAGCAATAAAAGAACTCTTGCGACAAGTGTTTGGTAGAGAAGATAAAGTTGGCGGTTCGGGTCGGTGATGCTGAAATCCCGAACCAAAGCCGTTAGTATTCAAAGAATCAATCAGTTGGGATGAAACGGAAAAGCTTGAAAAAAGCTTTGGAAAGCCTGAAATTCAGAACAAATATCAAAGAGGGAGCCTTAGAATTTGATGGACACAGCACAGGTGGCAATGGACACGAGAGAAAATATTATAAGCAATAAAGGCCATTTCATCATAATACATTTCCTAAAAATTAATAAATGAAGAAGAGGTTGTGAAGTGAGAATGAATGGAAGAAGATAGTTTGTGAGAGAGTAATAAAAAATCCCCACTTAGCTTTACCAGGAAATTTCACGGCTTTGGATCTTTAAAACAGTAAAGCTATTCTTGTCATGAATTTCACTGTGTAGTACTACGAGTCTACTATCACAGAGGGGAAAAAAGAATTGACTCTGTAGTAGTGCGAAACTATATATAACACTGGAGAAAAAAAGGGTAGATATACATGGTTGATATTATTCCAGCTTTAGTAAAAGGTTTGGCCATCAAGGTCTTCCTCCTAACGTTTTTACATTTAAGGATCACAAATTCACTTTTTTTTTTTTTTAAATACTTTTTGCTTATTCACTGAGATCATGTGGAATACACTAAAAATGGATTATCCACCACTTTCTTTATATTTAGTTACATATTTGAAATTTCTAATTTCGGTTACTTTGTTTTAAAAGTATTATATATATTTGCCAAAAATATCTCATTTGAATAAAAATTAAAAAATAATTGTTTCTTTTTGAAAGTTGATTGAAAAGTTTGTTGAATTTAATTTGACCTTCTTGACTATAATTTAAACAATCATTTTTGTAAGTGAATCCGTCTTATCGACAATAATATAAAAAAAAATCATGAAAATGTAAGTTTAATAGATATGAGTATTAATATAAGCAGGTCCGATCTTTAGGGGTTTAGGGACAATCGTCTTGAGTTCATGATCTACGGATCTCAGGAAAAAAAAAAAATTCAAGCAACTTCAATGTGAGAAGGATTTTTTTTTTTTTTTAACAATGACACTAAAACTTAATTTTTTTTAAAAGTTAATAAAGTTTCTTTGTTTTTTAAATTAATTACATTTTGTTGACCACTAAAATTAGCCTAATGATTGAGTGGAGAGTGATTAGAATAGTTAGAAGTACGAGACTTAAGTTCAATTCTTGTTGCGACCATTTCTAATTTTTCTTAACAAAAAAAGTGATCTTCTCGAAATTACTTAAATATTTTTTTATTGTATGCAAAATCATTAATAATTGGTTGATAATATTTAAAAAAAATCATTTTTAATAGAAACCAAAGAAAGATTATTTAATCAATGATCACAAATAAAATTGTAACCAACACACAAAATTAATCTTATGATCAATTCTTATTTGTGTTAGAATAATATTTGATTAATTAAAGTCATGTCTCGCAAGCGCAAATTAATTTTTGGTTATCAATTTTAAACCCATGAAAAAATATAATTTTAACGATTTCAATTTCAAAAAACCTATTTCAACATATGAAAAATAACACAAATGGTTAATATTATTTTATAAACACACATGCTAAAAAAAATGACTAAATTTACCATATGTCAATATGAGATTACGAGCTATCTTTGAGTATTATTGATCAAATGAAAAGACACATCAATAATGATTGTATGTCAACAAAAAAATATTCAAGGTAATTAACAAGTTATGGTTCACAATTATGCTTCAAGAGAACATATAAGAGGTCATAATTTAGATAATATAAAGACAATTAGAAATAACAGGGAAATGAGAAAGTTGAAGGCAACTGCCTTTTGTGATTTTACTTTAACATTAATATAAGATCAAGAGAAATAAAAGGAAATAAAAAAATAATACTACTATATTTCATTTTACTCTTACATTTGACATTGTCAATCCATTTCACCAAAAATATTATAGGTAGATTTTTCCAAATTTTGAATAAATTTTTGTTTGACATCTAAAAACATCACCTATTAATTATTTTATTTTTATAATAAAAAATTCATATAATTTAACAATGTAATTTTTTTCTAATATTTATATAGACTAAATATTTTTTTTATGTCCCTTTAGAAACAGGATCTTGGGCGGTGGCTCATCTCAATCGAGGTTATTACTGATTCGTGATATAAATAATTTTAAAAGTTTAGAAGTAAGATTTTTTTTTTTAAATGAAAGATTTTATAGAATATGAGTTAAGATTTGAAGAGATATTTTTTAACGCGTGAAAGTTTAGAAATTTAGAAATTTTATAAAATTTGAAGTTTTGATACGTGACTTTTAAGTAGGAAAAATATTTAAAATAATTGGGTATTAACTCGTGTTTTGCAGGGCTGAACAGAATTTGAAGAAATTAGAATTATGTTTAAAAAATATATATTATGTTGAATTATTATTTCTAATAAATGTGTAGGAATTATATATATATATATA